CTCTGGCAACACTAGAAGACTTGCAGACCTGCTCGGATCTGCCCACACTGCAACATGCTGACTGGGGCCTCGCAGTAATTAAGCTCAGATCTGCCTCTTCTCACACGTGTCAGATTACAGTCATCTTGGCTTCTCCTCCCAGTTGTTATTGTTGGTTTTCTCTTCTACAAATAGGTAGGGTTTTCTCCCAGGGCATAGTGCCCCTGGCTCTGTAGCCACTGAACAATCACTGGGATGTCCCAAAATCTATCATCTCATTTTCAAATTCTGCAGAAAATACACTGAAGAATACCAATTTATTTACTCTCTGACTGGTCTAATTGTAAACACAGTATATAATCAAGATTTAATTGGGTACCATCTTTAAGAACATATGCTCAAGAACCACGGCTTTGGTTTAAACTCTGGCTCTACCAGTTTCTGGCCAAGCAACCAAAGTCACCTAACCTAGAGTCCATTTCATCATCTGCAAAAATGTGGTAATTATTATAATACCTTCCTCACACACTGTTATGACAATTAAATTGTACAACTGTCAACACAGTTAATATTCAATAAATGTCAGTTGTTACTATTTTCTCTCTTATGTCCAGTTCCTAAACAAAGATTAATGTGTAAACTCTAACATGTGAGTAACTCCAAGCATAAGAATATTAGAAATGTTCAAGATAAGAGAGCAGTTTTCACACATTCTCTAAACAAGACAAGATTCTATTGGGTGCAATATTCAATGAATTCAGTCAATACTCTTAACTTCATAAAATTCGTATATACCTCTTACTCATTTATTCAACAGGTTTTTTTAAAGAGGCAGTAGAGAGTAAGAACATGTATTCTGATAACAGACAGACTCAGGTCGAATATTAATTTTATGACCTTGGGCAAGTTACTTAACCTCTCCATGCCTCAGTCTTGCCAACTATACAATGAAAATAATAGTATCTATACCTCATAGGTAGCACCTAGAACAGTGCACAGCACAGAGAAAGTGCTAAGTAAGGATTAATCAGATAACCATAAAGTTCTGTGTTCCTGGCACTGTGCTAGGTGTTGGAGATTCTGGGAAAAATGACATAGTATTTGCCATCAAAGAGGTCAAAGCAGATAATCTCAGTGTATTTGTCAAATATTTACATATGAAGAAGGCTTACACCTTTGAATGCACAGAGAAATGGCTTCTTTCATAATAAAAATTAATATTTAATTAAAACAAAATACTGAAAATTAGAATGTGGGGTGGGTGACAGGCACATTGGAGTTCAACACATTATTCTTTCTACTTCTGTCTATGTTGGAAATTTTACATAATGAAAAGTTGTCTTTAAAGATGATAAATCATTTTCTTTCCCAAAAAAAAAGCAACAACTGTAGTTTGAAGGATGTCCTTTACTGCTTTATACTACAAATGAACTGTCAGCAGCAATGTTTAAGATTCACAGGCGTTAACTCTTGACAAGATTGCCACCTCCTGTATTAGCTTCAATTCCACTATTTTTAGCAAGGGTTTCTTTTTCCAGAACAGGTGAATCTGAATATTTACAAAATTTTCCATATTGCAGGAAATCTTGTCTGTTATGTTGAGCAAAGCATTATATGGGGGAGACTCATTAGCCTGATGCAATCTCAGTCAATTTTGGTTTGGATGTTCACAGAGGTTATCTGTCAGTACGAGTGAAAAAGGAAGCAAAGAAACCTAACATGGATTTAGTAATTATTGCTAGATATACACCCATAGCTATTAGATATTATCATCAAGATTAATTATATTAAAATAAAAGCAATATAGTAAGTGGTTAAATATGGAATGAATTCTTTTAACTGTCCTAATGCTATACAAATGGGTATCTGTGACTTATGTAAAATCTCTATTGATTGCAATACCACAGCGATTCAAAATTGCTTTATCTCAAACGACTTAGGCAGAAGTTGAGAAAATGTGCTCTGGAAAAATGCCTTAAAATTACTCAAAAAGTAGTTTATATGATGATGAACACCTGATGGTAAAGGATTATTGAAGAGATTCTGAATAAAGTCTTAAGAATATAAGAGGGGGCAAAAAGCAACACTTGTTATTATTTTGTGTAATATGTTTTAAAGTGTGTGTAATTGTTTACGTTAACCAGAAAACATAAGTAGGCATTCAACTACTTCACCAACAGTCATGGAGATTTCTATATTTAAGTCAATCAAACTTGGGAGCCTCTAACTGGAAAAAGGACTGCCTTACATACAAGCATAGCACAGGCGTGATTACATACAAGCATAGCTGAGGCACAATATGCCACATAACCCCAAACGCCAAGGTTTTTCAATAATGTTTATTAAGAGTTATATTAGGCAACACCTAATACTACTTTCCCTGTTACAGCAGACTTACTAAATGGGAAACTGCCTTTTATTTAAAAAGAAGTGCTGGGGCATGTCCTGAAGACACAGGGTTTGAAGGGGCTCTTGCTGTCAAATTCTGAGACAATTTGAGCACCAAAATAATTAAGCTCTTTGTGAATTATTGTGGATAGTAGAGGGAATTCAAGAGTCTATACCAATAAGCAGACAATGGAGAGCTCTGGCTTATATCAGCATGCTAAGGGCTAACTGGTAAATCTAGAGAAAATGCAGGAGAAAAAAATTTTCATTTTGCATGCATCTTAGTAAGACTGGATCAAACAAGAATCACAAATGAATGTTAAATCGAGGAGGAAATTTTGATGAAAAGAATAGTATTTTCATGTGTCTCCCCACAGACTACTTAACTAGTTGCAAGAGAGGTGAGAAAAAGAATTACAGTGGAGAAATCAGACATTTCACTGGGTAATCAAAATTAACATCACCAGTGAGGTGCAGATGGTCATCAAGCACCTCCAGGTATGATACATTAAAGAAAACATCACCTGTGCAGCAATAAATAATGTGGATCTAATCATGAGGGAGTATTAGATAAACCCACAATGAGCAATGTTTTATTAAAAAGAGGGGAAAGGGATGTATTCTTCAAAAATGTCCGTATCATAAGAGAGAGAGAGAGAGAGAGGCTGTGGAAATGTTTCCAGATTAAAGAAAACTTTAATCAGATTAAAGGTAAATGGCAACTGAGTGCAGTATCTGACCCCAGTGTAAATCCTGACCTGGAGGTGGGAAAGGGTATTTCTGGGTTAATTGATAAAATAGACAAATGGTAGGTTGAATAAACAGTACTGTATGAATGTCAGATTTACCTGAGTTGATACATATGATGTGGTTATATAAAAGATACTACCCCTATTTTTAGGAAATACACATTTCCTACAGAAGTTTACAGAAATGAAAGGTCATGATGTAACTTAAATTGTTCAGAAAAACAATTGTGGGGGGTGGAGGTATGTAGAAAGGGAGAGAAAGATTGACAGAGACAGAGGAAGAGAAAAACTGAGAGACTGAGGAAGTGGTGCAAAGCAAATGGGGTAAAATGTTGATAAGTGATTCTGAGAAAAGAATATACAGGTGTTCTCACTACTAGTTTTATTTTTTTAGCTCTTCATTAAGTTTGAAATTATGTCCAAAAAAATATGAATACATTACTATATCTAGTAACAAAAAAAAATTTTCTCATCATTCTTTTAAGACTAAAATATTCAAAATCAACAATACCTTTAATCTCATTATTTTTTATCAATTTTTAAGAAGCCATTAATTTTAAGACACAATTATTTTTTATACCACTATGAAAGGAAAAAAAGATGAAAACTGTAATTATAAGACAGAATTATATAAGAGAACTTTTCCTGTTCTCTGGATGCTGGTAGTAGAATCCAAACATGGGAACAAAGTAGAGTTAAATACCTGATGTTCTAAAGAAAGCTGCAGATAATTGGGGGCCAGAGACTCCTAGATTTAAGAGGGCAAAGGGGGCCATGATGTCAGCAACCAGCACCTCAACAGGCTCCCCCACCTTCACCCCAGTCTACAGAATATGGTTATGGTATACAGCAGTCTTGATGAAGCAGCTTGTCTTTCCCTCGTCATCATCACACCAATTTCTCCCACTCCTTGAAACCAAGTGAAGAGGGCTTTTTTAAATTTCCAGTTTCTTAAACATCCTTAAAAATACATCCTTAGGTAGTGATGCTTTTGTTTCCAACAGGACAGATTCCTAGAATGGGACTGATGTGTCCAATTATAGGTATTGTTTTATCTTTACAGATGTTACCAGATCAAGAATGTACACACATTTTACCCTTTTCCCCTTATCCCCACCAGCTCTAGATGTCATTTTTGCCCATCTGATATCTTATAACCTTAATTATATTTCCCTCTCTATTCGTGAATCAGGACATCTTTATAAATGTTTATCAGACTTATGAACAGCTTTCCTGTGATTTGTCTATTCATACTCTTGCTTTTTTCCTTTTCTTTTCTGCCAATTGTTAAAAAATGTATGTGTATTTACCCTTCATCTGTCATCTCCATTACAAATGTGTCTTCCAGAAATACCCATTGTTATTCTTCCTTAATAGTATCTTTTGTTCTGCAAGTTTGTCTCGTTTTATATGGTCTAATGTAGGTGTAAATATATAAATGTAAACACACACCTATTTGTGTGTGTGTGTATTTATATATTTAAAAAATATGCATCTTTTAAAGCTTCAGAAATCCCAATAACTAAATGGACTTTTTAATTATCAAAAATGACTGAGAATTTAAGGTATTTATCCAACATGTAAATAAGAGACAGCAGAAAAAAAAGGATGTGACCAAACAGAATTGAAGTACTTATTGCTGAAAAATAAAGCCATTTCATGAGTATTTCCTCCATCAATTGAGATTTTCGATGAACTAGCTACATCTAATTTATTTAAGTGGGAAAATCATGATAACTCTCATTCTCATTTTTAAAGAGAGAAACTGAAGTATGGTGAAAAGCCACAGTGACTAATACAGTTAGATTCAATAGCTATTGTCTTTTGAAACACGTAACAATGTCAACACAAGTTTTTGGTAGCATTTTGGAGCCAGCTGCTTACCTTTCAATAGCTAATTCTTTGTTAGAAAGTTGCCTCACTGTAATCACAACCTTCTTCTCTATTCCCTGTTTTATTTTGAAATAAAATTTATCTCTATCCTTAGGTACGGGACTGAAACATACAAAAAGAACAGAAATTATCAATACAAATATTAATACAATAAAATAATTTATTCCAATGTTAGAGACAGCAAAGTATTTAAGCAACAGCCTCTTAAGATGAACTAAACTCTCATCTTGCCAGAGTTAACTATACATTTGATAGTAGGCAAAACAGTTACTATTAATTTTTAAACTAGATTTATAAGAGCCTCATATTTTACCTCTAACCAAAGTTAGAACCAAGATTTTTTTAAATGGCATTACAAATTTTATTTTTGAAATGTTAATGACATTATTTATGTAATTTACCTAATTATTTTTTAAGACACATATCTGGTTTAACTGGTTGCGTGGTCATAAAAGCCTTTAACATAATGAAACCCAAGGCAAAACAAAGTGAAAAGAGCCTAATTTTAAACATCTAGAATTTGAGATGATTATGATATATCCAAGTAAGAATAAGTAAAAGATGGACAAAGACATACAGATTGGTGGCAAATTAAATTCTAGCCTAGCACAGAGAAGACAAGTAGTGATTCTATAGCATCTAACTATGCTGATGGACAGTGACTGTAATGTGGTATGTGGTGGGGACTTGATAATGGGGGGGAGTCTAGCTGCTCATGTAATTGTACATTAATGATACCAAAATATAAATAAATAAAAATTCTAGCCTAGGTCAGTCTGCCAGTTCTTAAGCATTAATTCATTAAAATAATGAATGTCTAAAATATGGCTGTCTTATCTGAAAAGGAAAAATATCTTGATCAACTTATTTGACCTAATACTCTGTTTCTGTACCTATAAAGAACGAACGAAATACCTAACAATTATTGTTAGAATTAAAAACACAGTTAAGGCACATAGGTGATCTTTAAAGAGTGTAACTGTGTCCTATTTATCTACCTTTTATTGAACTAAAGAAAAGCATTTCAAATATATAATAGAAGGAAATGGTTAATTAAATGAGGATCAAACCACCCAAATACTTTGCTAAATTTTGACGGAAAATTCCACCATAAAGTTAAAAGAAAAAAAATGATATATATACAATTGCATAAAAATATCCTCTAAACAAAGGCAATAAATCAAATATTAAAAATGATTGTGGCTGACAAATCTATAGCTTTTCATTCTACTTTTATTATTTCACTGAGATTTTAATAATATCAGCATTTTTAAATATTAAGAATACCATTTACATAAAATATCTTGAAAAGTGGGAGAACAGTGAAACACATTTATTCACCACTCAAACATTTATTTATCATTCTAAAGCTTTATACCAACATTGTATAGTTTCTGGAACTTTCATATTAGACAATACTATATCTCAGGTACAATACCAATTTCTATTCTTTCCAAATAATCTCACCTAAAGTTTCCTTTTCCATCATCTTCTTTCACCTCCAAGGAGACACTGAAGGTAAATACATCACTGTCAGGGACAGGAATAATTGAGTCTTTAACATCAGACACTTGTCTAGAAGAACGTTTGAATGCTGTAGAGAAACTATATAAAATTCTGCTTACCTAAAAAAATTAAAATGAAATACCATTAGGTAAAAGTTTAACCATATTTTGATACCCTGCTCTCCTAATTCTTAAATCTCCAACTTCCCATCATCACAATTTTCTTAAGCAGATAAAGCAGATATACTCTAAGCATATATATTTTTATAATATGTATCATATATATTATATAGCTTATAATACACAGTATATGTAGACCAAGCATACAACATGTGTATACATGTATATAGAGTTTGCTTTCAACTCCAGCATTTAAACATAGTAATAAAAATGTTTAAATAATTTAAATTCACAAAAGAATATATTTATAGATGTTTCTAGGCCTCATCATATGCTATAGTGCAATGAATGAATCCTCAAGATAATTACTAGAATGCTGCTGGCATCTAAATCTTCCCAATGAACACAAAGTTTTAGTTGAAGTAATCAATTTCTCTTTTAACTTCCCTCAGCTTCACAGGACTACACACTGAGGCACAGAAGAAAGCAAACAGTGGTTCTGGCAATAAGCAAACTCAGTAACGTGATTTAAAGAGCTTCCAGTGCTGTCACTCAAACTTGTGGTATAAATACATTGCAGGATTCCCAGAATAAATGCTAAAATGGTCTTACCTACTATTGTATTACTATTAAACTATGTTGATAATTGCTTGAAAAAATATATATGCCCATGGCTTATACTCTCTCCCTAAAATGGAGAAGTATTCTAAACCCCATACTCTTCCAAAAGTTATTCTCTTCCTTGGTTGCAAAAGAAATGTCATACCATCTCAGACTTATAAGGCTGAAGCACAAAAAAAACCTTCCAGGCCTCTCAGGCCAAGCATGAGTTGAACATTGAAAACATGAAATAAGAGTTTGACCTCCACATTAGGAGGTACAATTAAACAGACTTCTCTTAATACTAACAAATCCTTCACTTTAGATAAAGTGCATTTGAATTATTCATTGAATTATATTAGTCTAGGACAATAATATTTTGTAATTTGCGTGAAACAAGAACACTTTCATCAACAGAATTTCTTAAAGCACGGAGTCTTTCCTTATTTTTCTATTTTTGTTATGTTCATATACTCTACTTTTTCTTATGCACAAGTCTATCACATTAAAAAATGAGTGGTTCTCACATACAATAGCCATATATACACCTATCAATAGATGGTCACCCTAAACCACCTTTCTAATACCAAATTAATAGTTTCTTATATTAACTGACTTACAAACTTTTAACTGTATAAGAATGATGCCTACCAGCCTAAGTTCAGCTTCAGCTGTAGCATATTTGTATCTCAGTACTTGTAAAATTTTTAGTATTTTAATGTTACACAATTATAATTTTATAAAAATGAGTAAAAACAACAAAAGTGGCAAAGGATTGATATTAAGAACTGAAGGCCTCAAATGTTACCCAATTAAAACAATGATAAATTCACTCATTCATCCAGCAAATATTTTTTGAGCTCCTTCTATGTGCTAAGTATACAGCAGTGAAGATGGAGCCTACATACCACCACATGTAAATTGAATGTGTTTGGGAGAGGTGAGAAGGAATAGGTAAGCCAAAGACAGAAATGTTTAGCCTCAGCTGGACACTGATTTGACTTTGCTCAACAATTTAAGTGCTACAGAGGAAAACAGAATCAAACAACATGTTAGAAAAAGTCATTAGAGATCATGCCTCCAAGGTAAGGTGTAATAAGCTATTTTTAGTTTCTGGGAGTACTCCCCACTTCATAACCCCAAATAAATATGAAGTCTATTGTTTACTTTTTATACACTCAACTTCAGCATATTTTTAAGAAAACATAATATATGAAAAAATGCCTGCACATAATTTTTTATATATTACTAAAGTCAAACCCCAACCATATTTACTCTTTTTTCTCCTCTCCCTTATCTTCTTACAACTATTTCATTTTCTTTTTGTCAGAGTATTATTAGCAAGCTTACCACATGAGGCCACACTAAAGCAGTCAAAGAACTTAACAAATTCTAAAGCAGATGGCAGGAGTCAGGAATTTCTCTTTAAAAATGTTTAAGTATATGGGGCCAAGCCAGTAGAGAATGATGGTAGGGAATCAGACTATACCTTTCTCGCATTTTGGAGGAAGGACACAACAGTACATTAACTTCATTAACAGAAATCAAACTGCACTTAATCCTAATCATGTCTTATTAAAAGTTCCTATTTCCAACAACAAGGTTAAAATAATTTGTGAATCCTAGAGTCTGTGAATAAGCTGGAATGGTGATCCAAAGATCAGTAAGGTAGAGTAGCTTCAGGAACAAAGACTGTCAGTCTATAGTTACTGGAACTAACTGGGCAATCAATTACACCATGAAAAGAAATTTAAAACATATGATAGCAAGCATTTTTATACATGTCACACTATTTAATACACAAACACATACACATCTAGAACACGTATTTTCTTTGCAGAAGACAAAGGTTTATTGAGAAATAATACAGTATAATTTTTCCCCAGAAAGCAGTATCTATAGAAAGCAATAAATAAGCATGAAATTATCTCTTGGGGTCATCATTGTTGCTGTTTTTGAAGATGCTAGGAACAGGACACATGTAGATATGTGGAAAGGAGGTAGCTTAAAATCTTCATTTTGGTAGAATTTTTAGTAATTTTATTTTCCTCTTTACCTCAGTATTTTACAAATCTTCAAATATGTATTACATGTTAACAGTCCAAAAAATGCTATTAAACAAAATGACATATACTTAAATAACATAGCCAACTTTTCCAAGATAAAGGCTTTTCACTAATAGTGATGAAAGAATCAACTCTTCTAAAAAAATGTTCATCTAAGAAATAAAGAAAGAAAAATCATTCTGTAGAAGATACGCTGAAGGATATGTGTTAAAATTTTAAAAACAACTTGATCAAATACATTACTCACTGAAAGGAGCTAAAATAAGAGGCATTTCATTCAATAAACTTTTTAAGTTATAAAAACCAATTTATTTAAGGAAAATACTAACATAACCTCTGAATTACTATCCATAATAAGGCATTCTGCTGAAATACTATCTCAACAAATATCTATTTAGAAATAATATTTTCCCACGCAAGGAATAAAGTTTCTTTTATGCAGTGACATATCAGCAACCCCAAGAAAAACCAATGTGTTAAGAAAAAAGATCTTTCCAATGATATGCTTGATATTTATGAAGAAAAAAGATCTTTCCAATGATATGCTTGATATTTATGATGAAATACCTCTGAATGCCTTTAATAGCTGGTAACAGTGCTTCTAAAATAAAACAGAGAATTGCTAGTAATGGTAGTATGTTAAAAACATACAAACAAGGAACATCAAAGAAGAAACCATTTTGAAGAAAATGGTCACACTGACCAGAAGAAATAAATTCTTAAAGAGAGTCAACTAAGCCTTTTAAAGTATCTTTAGAAACAGGTTTGTATAATGTATCCATAAAGATGCAACACAAATAGGTGCATCCAAGCTTTTTTCACTATTGCTTTGTCTGCAGTTCTTCAGCAGAAGCCTCTCACATCATTCTCCCTGTACAAAGATCATCAGCATCAAGATACTTTTGGCTGGATTCCCCTACTCTTTTGCTCTAGAAAATCAATCTGCTCCTGCAAAGTCCTGCAGAAGAACATAGAGAGTAACAAGTTAAATGCCCTAACCATTCTGTGGGAACCCCTAATCCCTGCTCACAGGTCCAGCAGAGCCATCACCCTCACTGGGCTTCCCCTCTGCCACTGTTGATGCCTGCTGCTTGTGGGGTTTTATGGTGAAGTAAGACCATCACAGTGACAGTTGGTAGAGGCAGCCATGCTGTTACTCCTGCTTGAGAGGATGTCCTTTTGCCTTTAACTGACAGAATTCTTCAGCTCATTCAGGGACTCTGCAAACAATGGAAGACAAATTAGCAACACTGCTGCTTAACACTGCTGCATAACATTTAAGCAATAAGAGTGGCTGTAACCTACTCCTGAGCTATCTTTGCCAAATGTCTGTGCCCATCAGGGGAGACCCGAATACTAACGATTAAAGTTGTCCCCTCACCAGAGAACAAGAAACTTCTGAAAACCAAATAACCAGACAACCAGTAAATGTAACTAAAAGATTTCAGATTTATTAAAAAGGTAGTTATTTTTAAGAAGAAGATGCTGGACATCTGTGAAACAGAAAGGCAGTTGGACTGTGAGATACATGATTTACAAATCCCTTTATAAAGCAGGGCTGAAGGACAAAATGGTTACACTGACCAATAGAAATAAATTGTACTGTGTGTTCTTATATTTAAGTGAAAGGAAATTTGTTGCTGAAAAATACATGGGTCTTCAGAGTCAAAGACTTGCATCTGAAACACAGCTTTGTCATTTATTCTTTAGCCTTGGGATAAACAAAGGATAATCACACAGTTTATCAGCCAAACTAGAACTTTTGAGAATAAAATGGAGTGTTATTAATACACTGGACAAAAGGCGTAAACTAGGACTGCTCCAGGCAAAGAGGAGCATAAGATCACTAGTCAATAAATACCATCTGTACCATGGAGATGTTATAAATATCAAGTAGATGCTTAGCACAGTGCCTGGCATAAGCTCCATATTTATACTGCTTATTTTCCTTATTTAGAAAGATCTCTCATAATAAGTTTAATGACAACTGTCATGTATTTCTCCTTCAAACAATGAATTTTACCATCAATGCCCATAATGTAATACTATGAAAAATGGACTCTAAAAAAAATAATACATGGACTCACTTTCTCACAACCTGCCATGTCCCAAATATCTCTCTAGAAATACAATTAATATTATTTAATACCATATCCAAAATGTGCAAGCTAAGAATTCCGCACAACTCTGTCCACTGCTTACCCGCTATTTAAGCTCTCAAAAATGACAAATATTTCCCCCACCCATAAATAAGTGGATGCTATAATCCAAAAAAAGTTTCATACCATCACAGTGATGAAAAATGCTTGTAGCCAGGTCCCTTTCGTTTCCTTCTACAGCAGTGCTTCTACCTCTCCCAGTAGCAGGTTCTCCATATCTTCAAAGTTCATTTCCTTTCTGCTAAGCAGCAATGATCCAGAAACCACACAGGTGCTTTAAACGATGGCTGCCAACATGAAAGGCCAGGACTCTACCACCTGCTTCCCCACCTCTGTAGTAGAGTTGTAAGGATCAGAAACAACCCTCATTCACACACACATTCATACTCAATCCTTCCAAATGCCAGGCACACATGTACTCATTGACTCTCCATCACACCTTCTGACCAGGCAGTCAGTATATATATGAATATATAATGCTGGGATGAAATAGATTCAGGACTACCTTAAAATTACAAAAAAAAAAAATTTTAACATCTTATACAGGCATGGGTTCTGGAAGAGAATTTCTACGGCTATAATCTAAATTATGTGTGTCTGGGCACGTTCACTTTAGTATTAAAAAAATTAACCACTAGAGCATAGTAATGAGCATACCCCTCATGCTTGGTATCAAACACACAGAAACCTACATTTCTATGCGTTCCTATGTGGTAACCAAAAATAAACTCTCAGAACTCCTGTGAATATGATGGTTTATGTTTCATAGTAAACAGAAATAGAACTAACTGCTGCTTTCAGCATTTTATACTGACAATTTCTATTTTCAAAAGCAAACACACCTGAGACCTTGCCCATCTAAACCTATTTATTAATACCTTTGAAACAGTTAAAAGCACTAAAGTTCTAAAAGTGCAACTTAGTTTTAATTTGGGAAGAATTCAACAGATAACAGAAGAGAATGCAATTTCAACGTGCATTTAACAAAAATCGTTTGATTCTGAACTACTTCTCTAGTGGAAGAATAAATCACCAGTTAATAATTACTAGGTTGAACTTACAGGCATCTTCAAATTACTGCAAATGGATACTTCTGCTATACATGAGCATTTGTATTGTTAAGTAGGCCAGTTCTAAAGAGCAAAAGCCAGCCTCTAGGTGAACGAATGTAATAAATAATTACCAGTAAAAACTACAGAGATCTACAAACAATCTTCGTGAAATCTAAGTGAAAGCAATAAGCAACTATCAGGCCCTACAGAGAAGCAGATTTTGTTATAGGCATTATTTAAAAATCACATGGACCAACTGACTTGGGCAAAATAATAAAAGAGGTGCAAAAATAGTCCTTCTTTCTAAGCTTGAGAAATTACTACCATGGTGGAGTAGGACAGCTCTGTTACATGCTGCAAGTGCCCCAGCAACACCACTTTAGTGCACAGTTACCAGATTTAGCTTTGCATATTCAGTTTTCTGCCATTACAAAAATTAACTTTCTCTTTAGAAATATGCTCCAAATTTATGTAATATGGTACATGGTCATACATTCTAATTTATAAAACTGAGATCAGAGTTCAGAAATATTATGCCTCTTTACTTACTGCCTCTTTAATTTCACAGGTGAAAATATGTATCTGAAAATCTTCTGATCCATGGGAACTCTCGGTAAATGCAAAGCAGTTGCTCTCTGCTGTCCCATCATGTCCACGTGCACAGAATAACACTTTATAGATTGGAAAAGAAGCTATCTCCATATTGTTGGATTGGTCTATGATTCTGCAAACAATGAGAGATGAGATAAAATATTAACTATCAAAGAACAAAAGCCAACAGTTTTACTACTCCAATAAACATATAAACATACTTATCTTAAAATCACAAAATAACCCATATATATACACAAAAATTCTTCACCTTCTTTTGACAATTACTTAATTTTTGTGTTTCCTATGATCCAATTCATTTACTCCCAAAGCTAAGTAGACACTGGCTGGAAAAAAAATTTGTGTCACCCATCCCTAAATGCTAGTCTTGTTCTAATATGGCAAAAGGAATGCCAGTACAGAACAGCACAGACCACCCTCTAGAGAGTTCATTCCTATTTAGAGCAGCACCTGTGTGTTTATCCAGGCCCGAGGTCAGCCTTCAACCAAGACCTCTTTCACCCCACAAAAGATCAGAGTGGTTCCAAAGATGAACTTAACAACAGAGGTAAAACATCTGTGGGATTTAGGAGCGAATAATTGTCTTTTCCTGTACAAATCCTCAGCCCTAGATTGATCTAAAACTCAAGATGAATTCAGGATGTCATTCTGTATAACTGAGGGGTATCCACTAAGAAAAGAGAGGAAAATCAAAACACTAAGTCTTTGTCAAGGTGTGTTTGGCACTTTGAAACTTAACAGATAACATTAAAAGGCATTTTGACATTTTTAAGATACATCATAATAACAATACTATCTACAAAACCCTTTCCTGAATAATTCAAAGCATTTTTTATCAAAACCTTATAAATACATATTATTTTTTTTTGTTACTTAGAATTTAACTGTTTTGTCATATTCTAAATTTTAGACAGGCAGGCAAATCACAAAAGGTTTGAAAAAAGATTAAATCAGTCTTCAGGGAATATTATTGTTACACAATAGAACAAGTCATAAGAAATTTCTCTTGTATATTTCTCAGGTATATTTGGTCTTCATCCACAGTTCCTGAAAACACTTCAGAGTTAAAGGTGAAATGGATGTTGTAAGGTTGGAGGCACTGGAGGGAGAGGTGAGCACATCGGACACTGATGACGTGTGCCAAAGTCCCTAGCTGCCGCCCCTCCCAACCTGAAAAATGTGCCTTAGGCTAGCCAATCCTCGCACCGCTATAAATCTATGCTCTGCCTCCCCCTACCTTCTTTAAAAACTCCCCGCCTGTCTAGTTGCTTGCAACTTCCCCAGCCTGTTTCAGACTGGTGAACCTCGCCCAGGAATTGCGCTCAAATAAACTGCCTGGCCCTTTGTTGCCTCTTGTCGCCTGCTTATTTCAGTTAGAATTTATCTTACAGATGTCTTTTCATGTTAATGAAACTTTTGAACCCCACCCAAGGTCAGAGACTGGAGGCTGAATCAGCCAATGGCCAATGATCCCGTCAATCATGAGAATGCAATTGAAGCCCTCACAAGAACCCATGAGAAGAGCATATCACACTCTTGGATCCTGTTTCTCTGTCAGAGAAAGCTTCCATGCTTGGGGAACCAGAAAGATTCATCATGCCAACAAGCCAGGCTCCAAGCTCCACAAGAATAGAAGCTCCTTTATTTGGGACCTTGCTCTGTATTATCTCTTCATCTGACTATTAACTTATATCCTTCAGTGTTTTCCTGATTTCTGTGAGCCGCATTAGCAAATTAATAGAACCTAAGCGGGAGGTCATTGGAACCTCCAGTCTGAACAGGATTGTCAAAAGCATAGGGTAAACTGCCTGGGGCTTGTAACTGGCCTCTGGAGTAGGGGGTGGAGGGCAGGCTTGTAAAATGGAGCTCTTAACCTGGGGAATCTGGTGCTGTCTCTGGGCAGATAGTATCAGAATTGAGTTGCATTCTCAGATACTGCTCGTATTGTGCATGGGAAATGCAACAGGAAGAGAGACAATAAACAAAAAAGCAAATAAATATATACTATCAAGTCAAGGGAAAGGACTATGAAGGAAAAAAAGGCCCAGTAAGGGGAAATAGAGGGATAGTTATATGATATAATCAAAGGAGGCCTCTTTTGATAAAATGTTTATTGACGTGAAACTGAAAAGAAGCAAAAGAGCCACTGAGAAACCAAAATTGCTTGAGCAAAAGGAAGAGAATATACGTAGGCCCTGCGGCAGTAATCATGACTGGGTTTGAGAAAGAGCAAAGAAGCTACTATGACTGGAATGTAGTGAATGAATGTAGTGAGAGAGAATGAGGGGGAGAGAGCAACAGAAAGGTGGGTTAGAGAGGGAATGAGTGAAGGTTAGGAGGAGTAGGGCAGAAGATCAGGTCAAAGCACTAGGTCATCAGTGGCCAGACATGGTAAAGATTTTGAATATACTCACAAGGATAACTGAAGGCCACTGACTGGAGGGCTAAGTGTAGGAGAATAATATTATCTGACTCACACTTAAAGAACTTCAAGGTTCACATGACATCAAATATTATTCCTAATTAAGTATGAGAAAAAGTCCTTTTTCTTCTTTCCAGTCTGATGTAAAGAGCTTAAAATTTAAGGCTTGCTCTAGTTTTTCAAACCACTGATAAGATGAAGGAAGGTTTTCATGTTCCTTCAGAATATTCAGGTATTTTTATGATTATAGTTCCATTTTTAACATTCTTAGCATAATTTTGCAAATGCCTCTTGCAAATAAGAAACACAGTTTGAGCCTAAACATGGTTTATTTTGCATGCCTACAGAGTAAAAGTGAATTCACACTATGTTCTAGGCCTGATTTATGACATAACATTATCACCACCATCCAAAGGGCTTCATACATGTCAAAGGAGAAATAAGGACTAGAGCTTACCTCACAGAACCTTCTGGCACATTTGGCACATACAAAGTAACAGGAAAGGGGTACTGACTGGAAGATTTCATAGTTGACATTGCACGTAAGGCCTCCACTTCATTACGTGGGGAAGAAACCTTCATACACCCTAAGTAGGTCAGTTTGTTAAATAAAACGCTCTCTTCTTCAGGTAATTCACTTGGAGAAGATGGTCTAGGTGTAGAAATTTCTGAAGAAAGTAAAAAAAAAAAGAAGCACTCAAAAGTTAATGCAAACTTCACAGTATACTTTTGCCTACTGCCCAAAAACAAATCAAAAATTGCAAATGTAGCCTCTCAGCATTTTCATTTCTTTTAACATTTATACCCTATAATTTAATTCATAGTTCTGAAATGCGTCATTTTGCACTTTTTAATCTCTCAAAGCATTATCTTACTTAGCTATAGTTTCTTTAGATGAAAAGAAAAAAATTCTAAGCTGTGCACTTTTTAAAAAATCAAAAATCTGGAATTCATATGAACAATAAGGTGGGGAAAAACACTAAAGACAGTGGGAATTAGCCTAAAAATAGAAACTATAACCACTTAAAAGTTTATCTTGGCTGACAAAGATCCTGCATAGCACCAAATTTATTAAGCAACCCCCAATTCCTAAGTAAAAGTAAACAACATTATTAACCTGTTATATGTCATACTAACAACAAAAGTCAAACTCGTTGTCTTGCTCCCTGCTGGCTTGCTGGCTTCTATGAACTATGTAAGTGTTCCAGCAGAAATTTTTCCCCCGAAATAATTATTTTGGTAAATGATCCTATGATTGCTTCCACCAGTTCTCCCCCCAACCCACCCATTAATGAGTTCCTTATAAAAAATTTTTTCACTTTAATTCTAAGCACAACATGCATCAAAGGCCCAGTTGTGGTTGGAGACTATCCATGTGTCGGGTGGTATTAAACTCTCCCTTTGCTACATTCTCCATGCCCCCCTAAAATCTAAATTCAGCTAGTCTCCAAACCTTCCCTGTCACCCATATCCATGTTGCACAAAATTAAGCATGCCTGTCTCACCCTAACTAAATCCTTGCAGCATGCTCAAATTCTCACAACCAGGATTGTACTTGCAGAATATTAATAAATAATTCACAAAAGACATTCCCAAACTCCCCATACCAGCTCCCAAACATACCAAAACATGCAACTTCGCTTGCCATTTTTTTTCTCTATTGAAAAACTGAAACCATTCAAAATTAATTACTTCATCTACCATGTTCTTCAGTCACTGAAACATGTTTTTTCCCCTTTTGAAAAGTACAAATACATTTTAAGGCTGATTGCTAACAAACTTAGATTTATTATTATAATCCTACACATATATACCATGAATTTTTGTTAATGTAGCAAGCATTTATGCAACAATTATTCACAAGGTCCTGTGGTAAAACCACACCTCAGTGACTGATGAGCTTAGTAGATCCAGTACTTCAAGTGGTCTATTATGTGTAATTGGAGTCCTACAAAAGAAAAGACTAAAAAAGAGAAAAAGCTTTTCAAAAAGACAAGTATTTTACAAATATGTATAACTCAGAATCATAAAACTCTGTATACCCCAAATGTAGAAATAGTACAGAAGTGAATCCAAAACAGACAGATGACAAAATTAGCAGACAAGGCCTTTGAAATATCTATTAAAATATAAAGGATTTAATGAAGAACATCTAACAAAATAAGGAGAAAAAAGAACCAAGAGAACTTCTAGAACTAAAAAATACAAGATCTGAAATGAAATTTTCCCTGAGTGGATATAAAAGCAGTTTTGAAATTGCAGAAGAAAACAAGAATGTTAAAGAAGTTCTTTGGAAGAAAGGAAAATGATACCAGAGGCAAATTGAAGAGCACCAGAAGTTATAAATATGAGGGAAAGACTCTTTCCTTGCTTTTTAATTTCTTTTCAATATAACAGACTATTTAAAGCAAAAAAAAACAGTATTTCGTAGAAATTTTAACACATGTATAAGCAAAATGAATGAAGCAAAAGCATAAAGTCTGCAAGAGAAGAAATGGAAGATCCTTACGATATACTTGAAGTGGTAGAATACTATTAAAACATAGACATGTTAAAGAGTTGAGTTATAACCCCAGAACAGCCACTAAAATAATAAATCAAGATTATTTGGTTAATATGCTGGTAATGGAGATAAAATGGAGTACTAAAAATACTCAATCCATGTGGGGGGTCACAGGGAAGACAGTGTAGCAGAACAGAGAAGACAAGTAGTGACTCTGTGGCATTTACTACACTGATGGACAATGACTGCAACGGGTTATGGGGGGGACTTGATAATATGGGTAAGTGTAGTAACCACAATGTTTTTCATGTGAAACCTTCATAAGAGTGTATATCAATGATACCTTAATAAAAAAAAATCAAAGCCACCTGGAGTGAGAGTGTGTGTCCTGTTAGCTTGGGAATGAGTGGGCAAGGGGAACTTCCAACCACCACACACCCTGTCCCATCACCCCTACAAAAAATATATATATATATATATATTCAATCCAAGAGAAGGCATGAAAAAAGGGGGAAAAGAAAGACAGACAGAAAGGACAGTGGGAGGACTTACAGTCAAACATAACAAATTACATTAAAGGTAAACAAATGGTTGAACACAGGGGTCACAGCTTTTTCTATGGTAAAGAGTCATGTTATAAATACTTTGGGCTTTGTGGGCCAAGAGTAAAAATCCTAGGATATTAAGCAGATATTCATATAAAAAGAAAAAACAGCCTTCCACGTTTTTTTTTTACAAAATTCAAAACTTTATTTATAGACACTGAAATTTGAATTTTATTTAACTTCCATGTATTACAAAATATTCTTCTTTTGGTTTATTTTTAACCCTTTAAAATTTTAAAAATAATTTTTACCTCATACTGATGACAGTGGGCTGGATTTGGCCCATAGGAAGTAGTTTGCTGACCCCTGGTCTAAACATACCAATTAAAAGACAGTTCATCAAACTGGATTAAAAAAAACGAAGCTCAATTATATGCTTTCTACAAGGAACACACACTTTAAAGAAACAAGTTGATTAAAAGTTTTAAAAAAATAGAAATAGATACACCATGCAAACACTGATTATAAGAAAACTAGAGTGGCTATTAGTATCAGAAAAGTTAAGACTTCAAAATAAGGAATATTAACAGAGGATAGAGGGATATTTTACAATGATAAAAGGGTCAGGAAAACATAATAATTTTAACTGGCTATACACCCTAAAACCAAGAGCTTCAAAATACCTGAAGCAAAAACTGGCAGAAGTGAAGATGCTCAAACTTGAACCAGTCAAGCTGAAGTAGTAAGTGTGCTATAGCTTCTCTCTCCTGACTGAAAACACTGAACAGAACATAAAAAGTAACTACAGAGGATTCTTCTTAAAAAAGTAAACAATAATAGACAGACTGGAGAGAGGAGTCAAAACTTGAAAAACTATCAGGGTAGTGTGAGTGGCCTTTTTTTCCCATCCTTTATCTTTCAGATATGACCTAATAGCAGCCCAAGTTGCAGAAGTGTGCTGTGAGCAGCAGAATTGAAAAAAATCCAATCTTTCTGGCCAAAGGACAGAAAAAGGAGTTCTTATAAACCAGAGAGTGTTTAGGGAATTATAACTTTTTGTTTTTCTTCTTTTTTCTCTCCAAGTTATATCATCAGGTCAGCCCCAGTTATGGAGCTGCCCTGAAGGGGGTAAGAGAGTACCACAAGCATCTAAAACTTGGGAGAGGAAAATCTGACTCAACATCTAGAATGCCTAAGCAAACAGGCCTGTGCCTCTGATTCAAAAATGTAAAAGGAATACTCTGTTATTTTTTCTCTTTTCTCTCATTACTTTGTCCTAAAGTTGACTCTTGACATGCAAAACTACCAGACAGAACAAAAGGAATAAAAACTCCAAGTGAGAAATCTCTGTCTTTCTACTCAGAGAAAGAAGGAAAATGGACCCCAGGAAGCCCAAGAGTGTAAGGAAAACCCCAAGGAGGAGAGAGCTGAAAAAGGTAATCCCCTAATTTTGTGTATGAACACAAGTCTTGGGCTTACCACCATGCTGTACATGTGTGGAAGAAACCAAAGATACATAGCAAAGGTTCTGAGAACTGTGCTGACTTTGGAAACAGAAAGCAAGACAGAATTTGCAGTCAGGACATAACAAGGCAGACTGCCTGCTAAAATAAAACAAAATCAACCTTCTTTAGAGGATTTTATCTGGAAACAGAATCTCAAAATGTAAGATTCAAAGTCTGAGAAACATTCCAATTATGTAACAACCAAAAAAAAAAAAAAAAGTGACCAATTCTCAAGGGAAAAAAAAATTGACAGATACCAGTCCCAGGATGATGTAGCTGTTGGAATTACCAAGGACTTAAAAATTGGTAGTAAAACCATGCTCCATGATATAAACGTTAACACAACTGAAATGAACAGAAGCATCCAAATCCTTGGCAGAGAAGCAGAAAAATGTAAAAAGAATGAAGGTAAAGTTAAGAACAGGAAAAACAGTGTATCTAAAATTAAAAATTCACTAGGGCTCAAAAGAATGGAAATAACAGTAAAGAGTGAACTTGAACATACAGAGAAAATTATTGGAAAACAATGAAAAGAGCCTTAGGAATTATAGAACAATATGAAAATATCTATTATCTTTGTTCTCTGGGTCTCAGGAGAAGAGAAGGATTAGTACAAAAAAAAAAAGGAAAAGATTTATATAAGATATAATGACTGAAAACTTCCCAAATTTGATGAAAGATATGAATTTACACATTGTAGAACTTAGTGAACCCTTAACAAAGATAAACTCAAAGAAAACCACAACCATATAAGTTTATAAAACTGCTGAAAAGCAAAGATAAAAAATATATATATTGAAAGCAGAGAAAAACAGCCAGTTAGAGATAGGGAAAGTGCAGATTTCTCATCAGAAGCTATGGAGACAAGAATAAAGAATAAATTACCTAAATGTTTATCAAAGGGTATTGCTCCATAGATCAGGGGTTTTGCTAAAGTGTTTCAGTGGAGATAAAGGGCCTACATCCCTGCCCCATGCCCATATAAAGCAGGTGTGTTTAATTAACCTGGATTGGACTAAGATTTAATGTGACTTTATTTTGGGGTTCAAGATTTCTAATACTAATGATGATGATAATGATGACAAATATTTTATTTGGTACTTAGTTTATGCCAGGCATTTTATAAACTACTTTATATGAAAAGTATCATTTAATCCTCCAAATTCTTATGAGGCAGGTTATATTTTCTATTTTGCAGATTAGGAAACTGTTAGAGAAGTTAAATAGGTTGCTAAGGTCATAAAACCACAGGCAGAGCCTGATTTCAAACCCAGGTCTGAACTCCAGATATCATGTCTTAACCTCTATGAAAGGTCTAACTAAAATACAATTAATTAAAAGCAAAATGTAATTTTTATTCTTCTCCTAATTACAGAGAGTATCAGCTCTTAAAGGGAAGGAACTCTTCTGTCCTGTTTCCATTCCCAGCACGTACTAACAGTGTCTAAAAGACTAGACTCTCAATATATATCAAATGAAATTTTAGAGCCAGTAGTCCTTTTAGCAACCAATTATAGCAAACACACATCATCCTGGGCAGCACCTTAACCCTGTCTCATCCACAACTAAATGGATCATAACTGCAGCCTTCACATAGACAAAACTCAGGTTAATTATCCAGTCATAACTAGTAGGGATCCTGAGTTGAGCAGACAAATAGCAAAACATTTTCAGCAAAGCAACACTTTTGAGACCTGGTAAAACTGTACATTAGTGAAAGGAATTCATTTCTACCTAAATATAAATTCAGTCCTATTCAAGTCACATTTCTCCAACTCCAGATCACTTCCTCAATAAAAAGAGTAACAAAGAGCATGAGAAAGAAAACTCATCTTTGTAGCCAAAAGTATTTTAGTACATTACAGTAAACTAGCAAAGATCTCATGTTAAGAGCTGAATCCAAGTAGCCAGAATATAAGATCATTGACATTAAGTGCCCTTTTAAAACAACCACAACAATTCTGTTAGCAAAAACCATTATTTATTCCACCTACGACAAGGCAGTTGAAATGTTTTTAGTTCAGGCTACTATAACAAAATACCACAGACTCAGTAGCTTATAAACAGACAATAATTTCTCTTTAGAAATTCTAAAATTAAGGCACTGGCAGATTCAGCATTCAATATGAGCCCACTTTCTGGTTTGTGGCATTTTTTCAGTGTCCTCAGTGGCAGAAGAGACAAGCTAGCTCTCTGGGTTCTCTTACAAGGGCACTAATCCCAATCATGAGGGCTGCTCCTCATGACCTGATCACCTCCCAAAGGCCTACCTCCTAATACCATCTCCGTGGGTGTCAGGATTTCAATATATGAATTTTGGGAAGGGCAAAAACATTCAGACTATAGCATGCCTTTTTACTGAAAATGAAAACCAAAAATCTAGAAAAGAATACTAAAAAGTTACTTGTAAAGCAAAGGAAATTCCCAAGGTCTTCAATGAAAGATTTTTCAAAATATATTTAGTATAATGGGTGATAGGAACACAAAAAGGTAAACAATACATAGTCCCTATCAAATATACTCAGAAATAAGAAATTATCCAAGCCATTGCAAAGGATCATTGATTCTGACAACTCATCAGAGCTAACTTGGATGACAAAAGGCATTTCTTCTTTTCAATTAACATATTAACCAAAAAAATAATTTAATCATATGAATGCTGATTTGTATGCTTTGGGTTGTTTGGAAGAAGTAGGGATTTAGAAATTTAAAAGATAAAGCAAAGCACAATGAATGATACAATCTCTCATGTTCCCTTACATCAAGAATTAACAAAAATTAATACTTTGTAAGGTTTGTTTCCAATCTCATAACTTTAATGTGTGTGTGTGTGTGTGTGTGTGTGTGTGTGTGTGTGTGTGTGTGTACATAAACTTAAATCCAGCCACGAGTATGACTATATGCTGGGACCTATGATTCTTTACAGTGAATCACCAAACAAAGGGGTGCTCTTGGGGATCCCCAACACATTGCAAATATCTTCTCCTAGACTGTCATTTAACCATATTTATTATGGCACCTTTCTCATTCAGAAGATTTAAGTTTTTATGTATTAAAATACAACTATCTTTTCATTTATACAAAAATATTCTCCAATTTTTCTTCTTACAAATTTATTTTTCACATTTAAACATTTCATTGACTAGGAATAAATTCTGTGTATGGTGTAAGTTAGGGCCATCATAGCTCATCTGTGTAACACTTTGCCTTTATCTATACTTACCCTACACCAACATTCAGAAATGGAACAGGAGCACCCTTACCCAGTCAGAACAACCTCATCACCTCTGTCAGTGTCACATATTGAGGGACTTGAATGTAACTTATCAGTTCATGAAATTCCTCAAACTACCAGGAAATGGTTCAATTGGTCCAATCACACACTCAACTTTTGTTCAATGGGTAGAAGAACAGAGCCTTTCTGCCACCAGGATGAACAAATCACCTGGCCTTAATTAGCTATTTCTGTTGCTAACCACCTTGTGACCATAAAGGAAGCCAATTAAGGAGAAAGGTCATGTGGAGAAGATCAAAGACAGTTTACAAAGGAACACCTTCAGAGTCCAGACCAAAGGACACCCGCAGTATTTAAACCAGCTGAAGTAGGAGTTGTGTTTAGTTTAGTTTGGCTTTTCATGCACACAAAACCACTTTGACTTAGAAGCTGGTATTTCCACTACAAATCCTATTTTAAATAATTGTAGTCAAACTGAGCAAAAAGACACATCACATAATATGAAAGACTGTGTCCATTACACTATTCTCTGATACCCAAGAATTTTTTTCATTTGTTCAGTAAGTATTTACTGAGGGCCTACTATGTGCCAAGTACTAGAGATAAAATGAAGTCCCAGACAGTGTTCCTGTTCTCAAAGAACATTGGGGGGACTGATTTTACAGGTAGAGTCAGAAACCTTAGAACCAAAGTAAGAACTCCCAACTAGAACTGGTCCTGTTCTTAGAAAACAAAACTAATAGGATTTTTCTAATTTTCATCTTAAAATTTACATTATCACTTTATCCCATTTCTCTTACAGTTTCTAAGAGTTCAATACAGTACCAATATTCGATGGATCCAAAATTAAATGAAGAGATGGCTTATTTGTTTGGCTGACTGAAACATTTCCAAGTGAACGGTCTGAAATTTCACTGCAATCTTGGCAATCAACAAGCCTGCTTTGCCCTTTCTCAGAATCTCTTAAAATCTCTTCCATGGCTTTTTCCAATTGTTCATCACCATTAGAAATAATCTATAGACAAAGAAAAACAATTCTGTTTCAATCATATTGTGGTTCTGAAGCGTAACGAAAATATTTCATTTCTAGAAGAAATTTAAACAATCTAAATATTCAGATTTAAATACAGTTACTGAATAATACCAAGAATTTATACAGTTCTACCTAACTATATCTGATCTCTGATCTTATTCACAGAGATTTCCTTTTCTTTATTTTTATTTTTTTAGGAATACATTCTAAAAACCAGGTAATCGTAAATGTATGTATTTTAAAAGGGAAAATGGTAAGTAAATAAACAGCGACTTACTGTGAATATCACTTAAAAGATCACATTTCTTTTTACCATAGCATAAACATTTCTGATCTCTTTACAAACTTTGCTTGCTAGCTGTTAAGAGGGTATTACTAATTTCTTTACATTTAAGTTGACTCATTCTTTTCTTAAAAGTGAGACATCAAGCCTAACTAAATAAATGATGTTTTAATTAAATGCTTTAATACTAATATAGATATTTGCATAAATTTAGTCATTTATTTATATGTAAATCCCTTGAAAAAATTGAAATCCATTATTTTAACAAAGCTGTTTATCCTCAACATAATATAAAATAGGTATTTAATAATTTGATTTTCACAAAACTGTATTAGACAGATATACTAATATAACTTTGATACCACAGTTAATAGTCATTAAATATTAAAGTCATAAACAATACATAGCACTTTTGATTAATTTCTCTATTCCTATTTCTAGAGGTGGTTATACAGTTCTTGTGCATGTACACCTAGGTTTGGTTCTTTTTCTTTGAGTTAAGAAAGGCAACAGAGATGGAAAAAAAATCATATCGAAATAAACTCAACTGCTAAAAACAATAAGACATAAACTTAAAAAATATTCAAACAAGTCAACCAATAAACCACAACTAGAATGTTACAAGCTGACCTAAAACACAAAAACCATAGTCTCAGAAGTGAAAGTAGAACATAACTATTTATATAATTAACTTTTAAAACCCAGCAATAAAAGACACAAAAAATCCAAATAAATTTATGTAAGATTTAACCATTAAATCTAATGTGCAAATTATCCTTCCCTTCTATTCCTTCTTTCAAAAATTCAAATTAAAAGCAAAAAAAACTTTAAAAATACATCAACCAAATAATTAGGCTCTGGATAAATCAAACATTGATTCTCTTCTCAAGGACAGTACTTAAGAAAAACCTTTGGATTTTACACATCTCCTAAGTTTCACCTAGTTAAAAAAGCAATAATTTAAAATAGTATCATTTGTAGAAAAGAAATACCTTCAGTTGAGGTTTTTCATCATCTTTTGTAGATGTATCATCTGCATGCTGAGAAACCAAAACAAATTCTTCGCTGTTTTGTGTAGCCACAGGATCCGATGACCCAGTAACCTTCTGTAATGAAGCTCTGACCTCCATTTCAGTTCAAAACTTCTCTTCTCACATCCACCTGGTCAAACCACAGAGGTAAAAAAAAAACAACTATTGAATAAAAACATGAATTAATAAATACTTGATCAACCCTTGTCCTTTAAAAATGGTTCATGTGAAGAATTCTGCTGGCTAGATATTATCTCAAAACTAGGGAAGCTTCTTAGACTAGGCCACATAATGGAAATGTACTCTCTTCACCCTGAGTTTCCAGACTAAAAGAACCATATTGTTCCCTGAAAAACAGCAGAAACCTGCCCATATCTCAACTAAACAGACTGACTACTGTTTGTCTCCATTTCTCCTAGAAATACTGTTTTTGTTCTTTTCAATAAATAAGCATGATACTAGAAATATCTACAAATACATACACACAAAATATATTCACTTAAAATCACTTTATTTTTAAATGTAAATGTCTCCAAAAACTTTCCTCAAGACCAAACGTATACATTACATTTATTTTTTGTCACTGAGGTTGACAAATCAATAAAGAATTCAACACCCTATACCATATATCTTTTCTTTCCTAGACACATTACCACTTATCATCAGGAGGGGGGAAAAAAAGGCCAGAGATTTCACATTGCATTCACATTGCAAACAATGTTTCAGTAATTAAATACAGTGAAATTTTCTGGATCCAGCTCTACTTTACACCACAAAACTCAACATTCTCTATCACTTCCAGAAGTTCAAATATTCTAATTTTTGAACAGGGCCTTTTCAAATTTTGAAGCAGGCGCTTCCTATAATAATCCAAATGTCTCTAAATTTCTGATTTGGAATCCAACTCTACTTGATTTCCAAACGGAATTCTTATCAGTATCTTAAATATGACCAAAGTGGAATTCCTAATGTTTCCTCCAAACTGATGTTCCTCATTCAAACACAACTAATTTTAATTGCACATGTATACTACATAATAGACACTGTATTCAGCACTCTGATTACATGACTGAATAGGTAGACAAGTTGCCTGTAAGGTAATTTTAAATCATTCTAAATGCTGTGAACAAAATAAAGCAACTTAGTGTGACAGAGCAGCTGCAAGGAGTATAAGGGCAATCTTACATGGTAGGAAAGGACTCTCTGAAAGGTAAATATTTAGACTGGAACCTAAAAGACAAAAAAATTCATTTATTAAGCAACCTGCTCAGTGACCAAAGGGGTAATGTGATAAAGAGGTAGGACAAGCAGGCTGGAACTAAAGAACACAGGACCTTGTAACTGCTTTAAGTCTGCTGATCCATGCCAAAAATTACCCAGAAATGTTCTTTTCCATTTGGTTACTTTTGTTCATGCCTCATATAAATGTGACTGCAATATCTCATTCTGCCATTAGGTGACACTAACATCATTGCTCTTGGCCAAAAAAAAAAAAGAAAAAAAGATTTACTTCCCCTTCAAGCTTTGTCTTAAAAAATTAATTACCTCCAAATTTTATCAAAAATCAAAATTTCCAATAATATCAAAGTAAATTATAATTATACTCATAGGTAGTGTACCTAGCCATCATTTATTTCCGTAATGCCTTAATGTCCTTCCTTTTCAAAACCCTTCAAGCACATGCATCTGTCCTCTCAAGGTTTTCTCATTTTGTATATGTTTCTGAAAATGCAGTATGTGTTAGATCCCATATTTTACCCTTGCAGGCCCTTCCTATAATAATCCAAATGTCTCTAAATTTCTGATTTGGAATCCAATTCTACTTGATTTCCAAATGGAATTCTTACCAATATCTAAATGTGTCCAAAGTGGAATTCCTAATGTTTCCTCCAAACTGATGTTCCTCATTCAGATTTTCCACTTCAGTAAATGATACCACCTTTTATCAAGTTGCTCAAACAAGAAATCTGGGTATCATCTTTGGCTCATCTCTACTTCCCTCTTCACATGGACAACCATGTCAGCCCCACCTCCAAAACAAATCCTACATCTATCTCATCTGTCTCCATGACCTAATCCAAGTAATGTTCTCATCTACTATAAATGTCTTCTAACCCATATCCTACTGCCATTCTTCTCTCTAATCTACTCTTCACAGGACTGCCAAAGAAATCTTTTGGAAAATAAATTGGATTACATTAAAACTCCAAACTAAAATCTTTTCACTAAATTTGAAATAAAATCTAAACTCCTTCCCAGGACTTACAAGGACCAGCACACCCTTGCCTCTGTCACTTTATCACTACAGCTCTTTAATGACAAAGTTCTTTCCCACTTACGGTCTTCATTCTTACCACTTACATCCATATGGCTGTCTCCTACAGGTTGTCAGCTTTCATTCATTCATTCAGCACATATTTAATGAGTCCCTACTCTGTACAGGAAACTACAATGGGAACTGGAGACTAAACGATGAGTTAAGACCAATGTAGTCCCAGTCTTCCTAGAGCTAATGTTCTTATGGAAGAGATAAATAATATAAATAATAGAAGAAAATAAATCAGGACCACATATTAGAGTAAGTACTATAAAACGTGATGAGAAAGCAAGAGGTAATGTGGACCTGGCTGACATCTGGGCTTAATAAGAATGAATGAGCCATGGAAAGAACTAGGGAGAAAGATCTCAAGCAGAAAAAGTTGCAAATACTAAAAAGCCCAGATGTGAGAAAAGGCTACTGAGAAATGGAAAGGAGGCCATGAAAATGAGATCATAATGAGCATGGGTGAGAGTAGTAAGAGACGAGATATGGAAAGGAAGACAGAGAAATTGAGGCCAAGTATCTAAGTATCTTCATAAACTCTAAGTTTATGCTAATGTTAAGTATCTTCATAAACTGCCTCCCAATTTCAGCTCTGTTTTATTTACCAGGGACTATCCCATGCCTAGTGTAGTGCCTACTATGTAGTAGATGTTCAGATGGGTGTTAAACAAATTTTTTTTAAAAGAAGTAATCGGGCTAATGTTCTCCCAAACAGCAAATGTGGAGTCGGGATTCAAGCCAGGCAGTCTGGCTTCAGAGTATATGCTCTGAACCACTACATGATATTGCCTCTTATAGACTCCTCATATGTTCTTGAGACCTAGGGTTGATATCTTCCTCAACCGAACATCACTGAGAACACTGAACCTTCTCCACACTATTCCTCCAACTTATCTGTCTCTTACCCAAAAGCATTCTTCTTAGATAAGAGATAGGTAACCCTGAATTATCATGTTAATAAATACTAATGGTTTATTAGTATTAATTCTAATTAATACTCAATTCAAATAAGATTTCCACTTTTAACAGAGGCTTTCTTTAGCCCCAAGAGAATGTCAGATATTCTGCCAGGCTAAGAAGAAAACTATTAGTTTACCATATGTAATTTTGTGACCTCTTCAGACACTGTCCAGAGCTTCTCATTACAAGCATAAAACCCTTCCTCGAAATGCTTTATGAACACTTCTAGAAGCCTGCTTAATGCTACCTTCTTGGGTTTAACAATGCTTTGAACATCAGTATGGAGATGGCATACCTATCAAGTTTGCACACAAAAACAAAAATCTGAGAATACAAAATCAAAGCTTTAAAGTATTTTAGCAGGCAAGTAATTAAATTTAAGTGGAGAAAATAATCTTTTCGACAAATGGGGCAGAGGTAATTAAATACTCACATGGAAAAGAGTGAAGTTGACCCCTACCTTACACCTTACTGGAAACTTAATTCAAAATGGATCACAGACTTAAATGTAAGGGCTATAACTATAAAACTCTTAGAACAAAACATAGGAATAAATCTTCATGACCTTGGGCCAAGCAATAGTTTCTGATATGACACCAAAAGCAAAAGAAAAAAACAGATAAATTGAACTGTACCAATATTCAAAATTTTTGTACTGAAAATGATACCATGAAGAAAGTAAAAATAAAATCCACAGGATGAGAAAATACTTGCAAATCATATTATCTAAAAGGGTCTTATACCCAGATTACATGAGGAACTCTTCTAGTTCACTAATAAAAAAAGGCAAAAAATCCAACTTTCGGTTCAGCTAAAGAGCTTGGAAGTCATCACTCCCTTCCTTAATACAAAAAAAGGCCGGGCTAGATGAAAAATCAATTAGCTTTCCCTGGGTCCATCACAGAACTGAGATCACCAGCCAGACTGCCATCCCAAAATCTGGAGAGACAGGCAATTCAGTCATAGCAACTGATATCTGTTTACCTGAAGCAGAAGCTGCTGGAGCCATAAACCTATAGTAAGACCTAATACGGTAACTTCAACAAATTGCTGGATACTAAGTTATATCTGGGTGTAGGAGGGGAGACTGGGTTGTGGGAGGGTGACTTGAAATTTTTTGCATGTTAAGTTTTACTTAATAATAAACAATAATAAAGAAGCGAAGGAAGGAAGGAAGGGAGGGAGGGAGGGAGGAAGGAGGGAAAGAGAAAGGTGTAGTAACTATATTCGTTTTAGACAAAGAAGACTTCAGAACTACGAATATTATCAGAGATAAAGAGGGGCATTAATTAGTGACAAAAAGTCAATTCTCCAAGAAGACATAACAATTCTAAATGAGTATGCACCTAACAACAGAGTGTGAAAATACATGAAGCAAAAACTGACAGAACTGATAGAGAGAGAGACAAATCCATTATTATAGTTGGAGATTTTGATACCCCTGAGATTGACAGATCAAGCAGGCAGAAAATTGGTAAGGACCTGAAGAGCACTATCAGTCAATTTGATCTACTTGACATTTGTAAAATACCCCAACAGAAGAATACACTATTTTCTACAGGGAACATTCACTAAGGGAGGCCCTATTCTGAAACATAAAACATTCCATGACAAATTTTTAAAAATAAAGAGAATACAAATATATTCTCTAACCATAGTGGAATTAAACTAGAAATTAGTAACAGAAAGATAACTGGAAAATACCCAAATATTTGGAAATTAAACAACACATTTCTAAGTAACCATGAGTCAAAGATGATACAAGAGAAACTTAAAAATACTTTGAACTAAACAAAAATGAAAATACAACTTGTCAAAAGTTGTGGAATGCAATGAAAGCAGAACTA